TAAAAACCTTTTTATAATCATTGTCAGAGCTTTTATTTATTCTTGCATTGCTTTTAATTAAAAAATTCTTCAAAATAGTAGAGGAACCTTTAAAAGTGAAATTTAAAATTAGCAAAGCAACAACCTTGTGTTTGGTGTAGATTTAGTCGAGAACTCGATTGGTTTTGAGGGAAAACAGGTACATGTCTCTCTTCATCAGATGCTAAGAAATCGCTAAACAGGAAAGCAGCAGGCACAGTGGTCATATTTATACCCTGCAACAGTATCAAAGAACGAGTATCAAAGAACACGAATGTTATGTCCGAAAAGGCAAAATTAACAAATCTTTGATCAGAGGTGTAGCTGAGGTTTTCAGTGCTTGGGGACAACTGAAGATTTTGTGCTTCTCCTGTTTGCTAAGAATGGAAAACTTTTCATTCTAAAATTTTGTAACATCAGTTTTGCACCCACTGGTTGCTGCCCCCGAGTTTAGACGTCCCACCCTTGTCCCACTCTGGCTACTTCAATAGCTAGTGATTGTTGGAAATTTAATCATAATTTTGACTTTGGGTCTGCAAAAATTATTGAAAAAGCTTCTCAAATTTTTGAATTGGATTTTCTTGAAGCTTTTCACAATCACAAAATTTATCTTGTTTAATTCATGACTTTAAGTCCATCCAGTCCTTCCTGACACTTTTGGTATTTCTTTTGTTATAGCAGCCTGCAGCTATTTGGCAATTTTAGATTTGTGCCAAGATCTAAGCTATAATTTTGCCAAGCTCGTAAAATGTGAATATAAAAATAAACAATACAATATATATTAATAACATTAATACTCACGTGGTGTTTCTTAAAAATATTTTTAAGAATCTTTATCCTTTTTATAATTTTAACATATTTTATCATGTAATTGTTACAGTAAACTGCAGTATTTTCATATATATTAAGCTGTTTGTTACACCATTTCATGGATGTCAGCTTATCTGCCCAAGAATACATAAATCTGACATTTTAATTTTAACATTGCGCATCCAAATTATTTCTTCGTTAACCTTAGAGTTTCATGTTGTGGCCGTTTTGCATAGTTTTTCAGGTAAATGATCTTTTTCTTAAAAAATAATATGGCATCCACCTCATTACTTGCTAAATTAAAGATTATTAATGTGATATTCACACACACACACACACCAAAAAAAAAAAAAAAAAAGCAGCAGCGAATATGTTTTTAAATAAACAATGCAAAATTTTAAAAATCTCATAAATAAATAGTTTAAAAACATGTGGCAAGAGCAAATTTGCAACATGGTACTAATGTGCAATTATGTGGCAAGGTATAAGACCATGCAGTCAATGCTAATGTACAATGATGTGGTGAGGCATTTTTTTTTTTTAGTATTACAGTAGGAAAAACTTTTATTGGCTGGCAAAGCTTGAGTCAATAAAGGGGTTAACAAAAAAAAAAAAAAAGTACCGAATCTTTTAGAAATGTTCTTTATGACTACTAAAATATTGCCATAATTTAAAACATTTCTGGGGTTTTAGTGGTGTAAACTATTGCAGCTGAAATTGAAATTTCTCATCACTACTGGGCAGATACAAATCATATGAAAAGGATATTGCTGTTTACTATTTCTGATATATGTTGTATGTAAATGTGATTGCTTATTACCAGTGTTCATATTTGTCATATGAAAATGAGATTGCTCCATAATTGTCAGTTGTGAGTTTAAGGGAATTTTCTGCTTTGTAATTTAATCACCTGAAGATCTAAAAGATGTAACCAAAAGATATGTATGCTGTTTTTCACTTCAGACACTCAAATTAAAGCAATCAAACTCCAATTATAAAAAGAAACTTATTAAATTTATAATTGTTTTAGAGAATAAACTTATGAATATTACTTAACAAATAATATTTCCCTGTGAATGCTTTTGAGTTTATTATATTGAAATAAGGTACTGTTCTATTATTGACATCAAATTCAGAAATGTATGTTTGTATGTATGTGCATATATATGTGTATGTAATAAAAACAAACTTAGAAGTGAAGACCAGCAGAAATTTGGATGGCGTAAAAATGTTGACCCATAATAAATAGGAAATTGGTGGTGAAAGCAGATTAAATCTTCCATTTTTTTATTTCAGCAAACATGTTGCAGCCACAATCAAGTTGGCACATTAATTGTGCGTACACAGAAAGGTTTACATTTTTAGATAAATTTGCAGTAAGATAGCAGGAGCAGACAGACAGCAGTCCAGCCAGGCCAAAGTGTAGAAAGCAGCGTGTTATGTTCAGGGTGAAATCTTAATTAGACTGACTTAGTTTGGTTCTCAGTGCATTTTGATTGGATAGTTAATATTTTAAATTATTATTGCTCCTTGAGTTTTAGTTCTTTACATCATCAGAATTATGTAAGAGTCATATTACATGGATTAATCTAGAAATGACACAGTGCAGAGAGAGGTTACTATTTTTAGAATTGAGAAGGGAAATTTACGCTGCTAATTTAATCTTTTATATACTGTTTATTTTTCTTGCATGTATATGTATACACACATATATATTCATACTTACATGTATACATGCATACATACATTTCGGAACCTGGTCCTGATAACAGAGAAGTATCTAAAATAATAATTTTAAAGGTTATAATAATTTTAAAAATTTAAGTTTCAAATCAGGTACTTCCTTATTATAGTGAACCCCAAAATATAATTGCTAATCAATCAAGATGTAACATGTAAAAAGCATAAGAACACATGGCGAGATTTCTTGGTTGATTAGTGTTTTATTCTTGAAGGCCGTTATAATAAAGATCATTACAATCAATATGTTAGTTTGAAATGTGATTCTATTTACAAATTTATTTTATGTATTAAGAATGACATCTGTGTAAAAGAAATTTTCTCCTGTGTAATAAGCATGCAGGAAATGAAATTTAAATCATTTATAAGCAATTAATCATTTTAAAATAATTTGCATAAATGACTTCAACAGGTATTTTCCCCTTTGTCTAATAATCATGAAGCAGTAATGCCACATGATGAAGAAAAATATAATTGATTTGTTGGAAGATAAAAATGCATGTGTCATAACTAACAAACTGTATTTATAAATATTATTATTCTGGCAGAATATTTTTGCTTCTTGAAAAAGAGGGAGCTGCCTTGTATTTTCTTAAAATGCATAGAACTGTATTTTAAAATGAATGTAAGTTAAATTTTGTCTTAATTTTTGTCCTTTAAATTTAAATATGAACAATACATATTATCATTTTTATGTTTTTGCATTTATTTTACTGAAACACTAAAGATCTTGTTTTTATCAGTTTTTTATAAACCAGATGCTGTTTCTCTGAGTTTGATTATTGGTTTTACCATTAGTCATCTTTAGAATTAATAGTCATTTTGTGTATAATATAGAGTTTAGTTCAACTTCTATGTGAGCTGAAAGATAAAAACAAAGCTTTGAAATATGAAGCTGAAAATCTAAAACTTAGATTGGAAGATGCTCAAGGTGATATTAAGGTATATATTTTGTAATTTATTTTGTGTCACTACTAAAAGAAAATATGGTTTGATTTAATGTGCCTTTTTATGCCTTTTTATATTTTTAAACATGCATATGAGTAATATATTTTGTTTCTGTTTGTAAATTTTTATTCATACCTGTTTTATGTTCGCGTTGAATGTTGAAGGGGCTGAAATTATGCACAGATTGAGTTTTAGATTCTTAAACTGAATTATAATTATTTATATATATTATAACTGCTTTTGCTGGTATACCCATGAATTATTTATATCTTATAATTACTACTGCGCAACCGGTATAGTGGTTAGCATAGCCGACTGCCGTTCCGAAGGGCCCGGGGTCGAATCCCGAAGAAGGGATGGATGTTTGTAAATGTATAGTGTCGGTGCGGCATTGTGACACTCTAAATATGCGGTGAGCCGAAAGCCCTCTCATGTGGTTTGGTGGAAGGGGAGAAGGGTGGGAGACCCCCCTCGGACCTGTCCCCTCGGGTTGTTCTCCATCAAAATTGGGGGCGGAACTGAGCTAAATCACACTGTTGCCTGAATGGTTCTCAGAGTTGTTGCCAATGGCAGGCATAATTTAGTACTCTTTGCCACGAGAAATTTTGTGGCTTGGGCTGACTACATCAGACAAGTGAGCATAAGTAACAACAACATTATAACTACTTATGCTGGTATACCCATGAAGTATAGTATTGATTACAGGCACTGAATTAAATGTACGATTTTCTACAAAAGGATATTTTAATGTGTGAAGTTTAAGTTGTCTTCAAAACAACTGCTTAATGTATTAATAATATTTTATGTAAAATTTGCAAAGAATTAAATAGAATTTTCTTTGCTCTAAAGGATGGAATATAAAATTTCATTTATATCTGAACTGAAGAAAATCACATGAAAAAGATAATATTTAAAATATTGTTTTAATTGTATAGTGCATAATATAAAAAAGTATTGAACACTTTTAGGGTTGCATACATATGATTCTATTGAACCAGCAATTTTAAATTGTTTTAAGTTTAATAAAATTGCATAGATTAAGTAGGCATTTTATTCCATGTATTATTACTTTAATTTTTGTAGTAAATTATATTTTAGAGTATTATTTGCCATTTGTATACAGTGTGATAGTTATATTTTGATTTTATCATTTTTTCAAATTAAAGGAAAAGATTATATAGCATATTTATAAAGGAGATTTAATTGAAATTATCTAAAAACAAATTAAATTTTTATTCCATTTATGAAAAGCAGAAAATATAAAAATATAATAAATTTAAATATAAGTAGAAATAACAGATAATTCGGGCATAGTAAAAGGTAGATATTTTACAAGTACACAAGAACAAGGGAAACTTGCTGCAAGATCACATTCTTATTAATGATCCTACTGCTGAAGCATGCATATGATATTATATGTAAATGATTTTAGTGAAATTATCTGCAAAATTGTAGTATCTCTTGTATAATGTAACATGAAAGGTCTCAAGAGAGTGATGTTTTCCTAGGAAAATAAGGTTAGTGGGGAGGCCTATGTAACATTGAGGTAAATGGTTAGCTGAGATAATGCCAAACTAGTGATGGTTTTTGTGACCAATTTTGTCTCTAAATTTGGTGAAAAATTGCCAAATGTTGTCAAACTTGGCAAACATTTGATAACATTTTGGTCTCACCCCTGTGTCCTGTAACTATGTAACTATATCCACTGACCGTATGTAACTGTAAGTGTGTATGCCTTCCAGCAGTTTTGAAAAATTGAAGGTACTGGGAAATTCTCAGCAACTGTTGAAAACTATATAAGGTGGTGAGAGCATCAGTTGTTAGTTTTTAGTTCAGAGTTGGTGATTGTGCTTTGTCATACTGAGAAGAGCTGTACGAGTTCTTTTATGAAAAGTTCCAGAACTGTAAAGTGTTTCTTTTGGGAAAATAAATTTTATCAAGGAGTGGGCATTCCATCCATTATGAATCCTTATGCATGTAACAATATGTATGCCACTCCAGAAATTTTATAATTCTTTTCCCCTAATTTTCCGCTATGTAACTATCGTATTTTTTTAAAAAATTAAATATTTATTTTTGGAGAAATAAAATTACAACTTACAGATATAGTAATACTAAGAATACTATGAAATGTTTATTTTTAATAATTTTTAATCATTTTCTATATAATGTTTTAAGAATTTTGATACTTCCTTGCTAAACTGCTCATAACACTTTGTTGTCTAAATAGGTAAATTTTAGCTACTTATTTATAATATTCAAATTTCAGATGTTACCAGAGGCTTAGGTGATGCCCGTTTTCCTATTTTTATTTATTTATTATTATTTTTTATGTTAAGCAAGTTCACTTATCTGTTTTGTAATCTGCATGAAATTTGCTGTGAAACTTATGACATTGTATGTTGTTATTGTTGGAGAAAATATATTAATTGATCTTCTTAAAGCTTTCTTAAAGCAAATATGCAGCACTAAGTAATTTCATATTTGCTGTTTAAAAATTAATTAATATGCTTTGTATTACAATAAATAAGTTAATTCAGTAAATTAGTATTCTTTATAATGTAGAACTTTATTATGAAAAATGATGAATGTATATTGCTGCAGGTCATAATAATTATTAGTATATGATTTTTATAAAACTGTAAGAAATAAATGGTATTAATGATAGTTTTGGATTTTTTTTAAAGTGCTTTTTCTATGAATGTGAGAGTCATATGTAGGTCTTTTTGCTTAAATACACATGCGGGGGGGGGGGGGGAATGATATAAAAAAATTTGACAGCTTTCAGATTTTACATTATGCCCAAAGGAGCATTTTTTAAATGTTTTGTGTATTACTTTTATTTATTAAATATCATGTTCTTTGTACTTAAACCACATAAAATTCAATTCAACAGTAATATCATGAAATATTTAAAAACACCATGTTTTTAGAATTTCCGATACACAGTCTCGTGTGCTGAGATAAAAATGTTTTTTTTTTTTTTTTTTGCATACAGTGTTGCTATTGTTCACTTTCAAATCGCTGAGTTTGTTAATCAAAAATTCGTTAAAGTTTTACAAAATATGAAATAAGTAATAAAACCAATTCGAAATTTCAGGTGCCTAGGTTCGGGTGTAGGATTACGTTTTCAAAATTTGATGGCTCTAGGTACTGTTGATTTTTACAGTGTAAGAAATACACATACATTCATGCAGATTCTTCATTATTTAATTTCTTTAAATATAATCCAGGGTGATAATATTTGGTGGCAACAATGCAAAAAGGTGATTAATGTTTATAGTGAAACTCCAAAAAATGCTGTTTTGAGACTAATAGCCCTTCACGGCTATTGCCCTTTGGGCTAAAAATATACTGTTTAAATTCTAAAGGATTCTAAAAGATAGGTTCATTTCTGTTAATCAATTATCAAGTCAACTGAAAAAAATGAAAATGTTGTGTACCATTCATGTCCTGTTGCTGAATTGCATACCTAATTATAGCGGAAAAATTTATAAAAATATGCTTTCCCCTTTAGTGATAACACTGGAATTGAATTGAATTTTAAAGAAAGATATAATTTATTGGAATGGTATTTCAGAAAAGAAATGTCATATTTTATGCTGAAGAAGCAAATACTTAATGTTCTTCTAATATTGGAGTCTCTGTGCTAAAATTTAAATTTAGAATTTTTATTTAAGGCCAACAGATATATAAGTTAAACTATTCTGCTGACAATTGCATTTAAAGGTGGACGTTGCTTGATCTAACTCCTGTATTTTAATGAAGTAGCTTGGGACATCATAAAATATAAAAATATAATTTATTTCACTTACAGAAACATAATTTGTGCTGACCAGTGGCGTAAATAAGGGTATGCAAGGAATTCCGTCGCATAGGTACCCGAAGGTTTAGGGGGCCCTTAAATGTCCTGCTGAACTACATTTACATGTTTAAACTTAAAAGACAGATTCCATTACATATATAAAGAATTCATTTTCCCTTGATGAGTTCGGAATTAGAATTTCAATAAAAGAAGATTAAAATTATTATTTTTATATTTTTCTTGTATTTTTTCCTCTTTTTGCTTTTCATTTTTATGTTTAGAATTTGACTACTATAAATTCTTATTTTACATTTTGATATGTTTTTGATTTTGTGTTAAACCCCTTTACACGATTGTTAATATTATATAGTTGAGGAATAACCTTGATTTGACTCCAGTTTACTTTTAACTTTAGAATCTTTAAGTATATGTAGATAATAGAATTCGTTTTCTTTTAAGTTTTTAAGGGCCCCCTACCTATATGGTGTAGTAACGCAAATTCTCTGTATGACGCAAATAGGAGGCCATTGGAAGCACCTGAAATAGCTAAATTCAAGTGTTTGCAAAAGTTAAAATTCCAGCATTCGACTGTGAAATAATAACTTCATGACCTACCCCAGTTTAGGGATAGCAGTGAGAGGAAAATAGGAAAAGTTTCTTTGTATTCCTTAGTCTCAAACCTGAAAATTATTTAAGGCGACCCCCTAAAGGAAATGTTTCTCCTTTTCCAATCCCAAATCAAAAAGCGGTGGAAGTGGAAATTAATTGTAACTATTTATTATAAAGTACTTTTATTAATTTGTTTCTGTATAATTCACATTATGATCGAATAATCAGTAGACATATTTTCTAAGTATAAATCAAAAAAGTAACTAAGCAGGATTCTGGTACTTTGGAATGAACTTTGAAAGTTAAGAGAAATTATGGTATATTATTTGCAATTCAAAATTTTCATAATATGTCATTCTGGTAGCGTTTAATTTTGTTCATATATTGAATCTCTTACTAGCTTTTCCATTAAATGCAAGTCCAAAAATCAGTCCTAATATTCAATTTGAAATTGAATTTATTAATGTTAATGATTCTTAGAATTTAATATAACATGTATTTCGTTGGTTCACTATAAACGGCGTATAACTTCCCAAATTGTTGTCACCAAATAACCTCACCCTGTATTATTTTTAAAGAA